CTCGCTGATCACCAGTTCTATTTTAATCAACGGTCCTTGGCCTTCACCTTCGGCCACCACTACTGGCCAGTCATCTTCCTGCCTTTGATGGACAGACACCACCATTTCATCCAGCGAGGTGACCACCAAGGAGAAATCCTTGGGGTCGTAGATATCTAAAGGGGTCACGGTTCCATCGCTAAATAAAAGCCAAGTGCTAAGCACCGCTTCCTACAGTGAGAGAAAAAAGGAGCAGAGAAATGTAAGAGTGAAGGTAACGGATGACCCTACACAATTCAATTCAGTTCAGTTCATTATAACTGTAGGGGAAAGAGTGGCAGAACCTGGAGGCGGAGTTAAAAGAGGAATCAGCTTAGAATCCCTACATAGTCACAAGCAAACTAAGTCCGATCTCCCTTGAATTCTTTGGACCTTTACCTAACTCCTAACAGTTAGATGAGAAGATTCCTGTACACAGGCTTTTAGCAATGAATCAATTTAATTAGTCCTTCATCTATGGACCTGGTCTTTGGCACCTGACATTGACCCAACATTCTTCTCAGACAAATGGTTACGAATAAGATTAGGTTAGAACTGTGGATTGGATCTCTTGGGGGTTTGAGAAGCAGAAGCAGCAGCCATCACAAGGGACACTGGACAGATTTAGAGTTAGGATCCCAAAGAGTTGGAAAACCATTGGTGCCATTTGGGGTCTTCTACACCAGAGGTCCCCAAACTTTTGGGCACCAGGGACCAGTTACATGGAGAGAGTTTTTTTCCATGGACTGTAGAGTGTGTGGTTTTGTGTGCTGCCTGCATCCTGTGGATGGGGCTTTCTTTGTTTGTGCGGACCGGTTGCTGGCATGCCGCAGCCCGGTACTGGTCCACGGACCAGGGGTTGGGGACCCCTGTTCTAGATGACTCATTTGAAGGATCTGCTGTTTCTCCTCTTCAGGGAAATCAAACAGACTGCTTTCATTATTGGTCCAATCACACACAGGGGCAGGAAGGGAAGAGGGAAATAAACCCGATCTTTGCGGTATTATGCTTTTAATCAAACTGAATGTATGCTTTCTTTCCTTCCCCACCTCCTCAAAATGGATACCTCACTGTAGGGTTTTCACGGGGTTGCAGAGATCTCTTTTATCCTCACTCCCTTTGGGAGGGGAGATTCTGCCGATAATGGAGCAGAGTGTTTACAGAAAAGGTGTGCATTTTTTTTTTTAAAAAAAAAATTAGATTACGCGAAATAAATATATATATATATATATACAGTATACAGATGCTAAAGTGGATAAATCAGAGACCCCCAAAGAGTCTGCTACGCTGGTTTGTTTTTAAAACAACCAACTGGAAATTGCTTTGCACACACAAGTGGCTTTTAAAAGAATGAATGCTCACATTTAACATAATCTTTCCATCTGCATGACTTAGAATGCATTTCGCATGTAAGCAATCTGGTGATTTGCATCCCAACCACTTTAATAAACGAGGCACCCTGAAATCCATCTGACCTCTTTGACTGAAATTACCGGTCCAAATGTTGTTTTCCTAAGCCTGCCTAATTCTTTGAAATAATGTATCTTGGTTCTTCTCTTTAGTTTTTTCGGGGGGGGGGGGAAGCAATTATCTGAGAATATGAGCAAATTTTTTTTCCCAATGATCATCCCAGCTTGTTTCTGGTTTTCCATCAATGCACCGGATATACCCAAAATCCACATTCTTGTAGTCCTCGCTCTGTTTTATTTTGTCATTAGGGTGGAAGGGACAAGGGCTTAGCATATATATTTTTTTTCACAACCCAATACTTGAGATGGTTTCACCACTACTCTGAGCATCTCCTCGCTTGTTTGTCAGCCAGAGCTCTAGATTTAGAAAGCAAGTGTTTACAATAATCTGGTTGAATGGGGTAGATGATACACTATTTTAATTTTTAGATCCTGTTTTCTATTACAATGTGTTATTGTATACTGCTCAGAGTCCCTCTTTGAGATGGGCGGTTTAGAAATATGATAGATAGATAGATAGATAGATAGATAGATAGATAGATAGATAGATAGATAGATAGATAGATAGACAGACAGACAGACAGACAGACAGACAGACAGACAGACAGACAGACAGACAGACAGACAGACAGACAGACAGACAGACAGACAGACAGACAGACAGACGATACATGGATGGATGGATAGATAGATGATAGATAGATAGATAGATAGATAGATAGATAGACAGACAGATAGAATATACTGTACATAGATGATAGATAGATAGATAGATAGATAGATAGATAGATAGATAGATAGATAGATAGATAGATAGATAGATAGATAGATAGATAGATAGATAGATAGATAGATAGTGATAGAAAGATTAGATATATATTGTAGGTAGAAAGATTAGATATATATATATATATATTGTAGATAGATAGATAGATAGATAGATAGATAGATAGACAGACAGACAGACAGACAGACAGACAGACAGACAGACAGACAGACAGACAGACAGACAGACAGATGATACATGGATGGATGGATGGATAGATAGATCACAGACAGATAGACAGATAGACAGATAGATAGATAGATAGATAGATAGATAGATAGATAGATAGATAGATAGATAGATAGATAGATAGATAGATAGATAGATAGATGGATGGAGAGAGAGAGAGATAATAATGTAAACATGCCTCTAGGTTTCCAGTGGAGGATGATCCCCAAATCCTTCCTACCTGTTTAGCTGCATGAAGAATATCCGAAGCAGAGGCTGTTGCAACCATCAGTCTCTTATTCCCTTTATTTGTCTGGAGAGACAAGGACAGGCCCGCCACCAGCTGTACTCCAAGGTCCGTGATGGTCACTCTGTCCTCCAGTACAATCACCGTCTTCTCAGCCAGAATGGAATCGGACAGGGGAGAAAGGACCTTAAAATGCGAATGTGGGAGAAGAGGGTGAAAACACACACACACATGGCTCAACCTAACAGAGGCAGACAGTGTTTTTTTTTTTTTAAGCAAGAATTGGGAGAGATCTTNTGTACTCCAAGGTCCGTGATGGTCACTCTGTCCTCCAGTACAATCACCGTCTTCTCAGCCAGAATGGAATCGGACAGGGGAGAAAGGACCTTAAAATGCGAATGTGGGAGAAGAGGGTGAAAACACACACACACATGGCTCAACCTAACAGAGGCAGACAGTGTTTTTTTTTTTTTAAGCAAGAATTGGGAGAGATCTTCTTCAGAGCCAACATTCATCTGGTCCACTAAAGAAAGGAGCAGATTGTTCTCCTCCCAATTAAAGTGGCCGTTACAAAGTTCAAACTCTCTCAAGTATTTCAACACCGCCCCAAACCTATGGCAGGTTTAGCTTGCATAGAAGACAATCTTCAGATATGCTGAAGAATCCACTGCCCTTACATGTCTGCTTGGAAGTCTCATTGAGTTCAACAGAACTGAGTCCCAAGGCGGAATTTGGAAGCCTCCTTAGAACCTTTGAAAGTTGAGCTTTTCTCAGCTTGTTCTTGAATACCCAACTTGTCTTCCAATTTCAGCCTTCAGACTGATTACCTGCAAACCTGCTTGATTTACCTTAGCAGGAGGTGGTTTCTAAAATATCCCCCCCCCCACCAATTTTACAGTTCAGCCAATGTGTCTGCATGGCCACCACTGGTTTGATCTGCCTTTTTTAAGCTCTCCTCCATGTTCAGTAAGGTGTGGTTCGTGTTTGATCAAGGTTGGATTTTGCCTCGTACCTGGACAGTCGTGATCCCTTGCTCGCGGCCGATCAAAACTCGGCCCCCTTGTAGCTTGGCCACTTTGGACTCTTCCACCTTCATGAAGTCGGTTACCAGGTCTGTGATGTCAAACTGCCATTCGGAGCTAAGCATGTAGGTCAGCTGTCCTCCAAGGTCAGGTGATTCTGCCACAAACTGGGTCAGGACACGCACCATGGCGTGCTGGTACTGGAGGGTGCAGCCTTTGCCCTTCTTCTCGTCATCCTCGTCCTCGTCGCTGTCACGGGTGGGCCTGTCGAGGCAGATACGCACATCATGAGAAAGATACTGGTTATGTTGAGGAACACTCTGATTTTTCTCTCTCTCGACTTATGACCCCAGTTGAGACCAAAATTTCCATTGCTAAGCCAGGCAGTTGTTAAATGAGTCGTAGCCTGATTTGAGGACTGTTTTTGTCCACTGCTCTTAAGCAAATCGCTGCAGTTGTTAAATGAACCACGAGGTCGTTAAGCAAAGCTAGCAAATCCAGCTTCTCCCATTGACTCTGGGAACGTTGCAAATATTATTTATTTATTTTATTTATTATTTAAATTTATATAAATGGTGATCACATGACCCAAGGGCCATGCAACCGTCATAAATACATGCCAGTTGCCAAGCACCCCAGTTCTGATCATGTGACTGTGAGGATAGCAATAGCACTTAGACTGATATACTGCTTCACAGGGCTTTACAACCCTCTCTAAGCAGTTTACAGAGTCAGCATATTTGCCCCCAGCAATCTGGGTCCTCATTTTACTGACCTCGGAAGGATGGAAGGCTGAGTCAACCTTGAGCCAGTCAGAATTGAACTCAGTGGGCAGAGGGAAGGAAGGAAGGAAGGAAGGAAGGAAGGAAGGAAGGAAGGAAGGAAGGAAGGAAGGACAATATCAGTTAGACATATACCGCTTCACAGTGCTTTACAGTCCTCTCTAAGCGGTTTACAGAGTCAGCCTGTTGCCCCCAACAATCTGGGTCCTCATTTTACTGACCTCGGAAGGATGGAAGGCTGAGTCAACCTTGAGCCGGTCAGAATTGAACTGCTGGCAGTGAGAGGAAGGAAGGAAAGAAGGAAGGAAGGAAGGAAGGAAGGAAGGAAGGAAGGAAGGAAGGAAGGAAGGAAGGAAGGAAGGAAGGAAGGGCAAGAGCACTTAGACTTATGTACCACTTCACAGTGCTTTAGAGCCCTCTCTAAGCAGTTTGCAGAGTCAGCCTATTGGCCTCCCAACAATCTGGGTCCTCATTTTACCGACTTCGGAAGGATGGAAGGCTGAGTCAACCTTGAGCCGGTCAGAATCGAACTGCCGAACTGCTGGCAGCCGGCAATCAGCAGAATTAGCTTGCAGTCCTGCATTCTAACCACTGTGCCACCAGGACTCCAATGGTCATCGTTGTGAGGACAGGCCGTGAGTCATTTCTTTTAGTGCCGTTGTAATTTTGAACATTTGCAATGGTTGTTAAGTCTGTACTTCCAAAGGGTTGAACTCTTCAACCAATTACCGAGCAGGGAAGAGCAAGCTTGCATTGATTTAAAAAAAAAGGGGAAAAAAAGAGGCCGGATTATCAAAATTCAGAGCATAAACTGGCTCTTTAGCCAACCGTAATCAAGAGCGAAACGTCTTCTCAGCTCTTGGCCTGCAAAAGTGATGCAGGAACTTGAACAAGGGAATAATTCTTCTCCAGCCATGTAATGAATCAAAATAAATGTTCTTATTAAGGCCATCAGTCTTAGCCTGCCTCACTCCCAACTCTGACTTGACTTTAACCTAAATTTATTCCTTTCATTTGTTGTGATCAGGGACACTCCGTTTCAGAAGCTATTCGACATGTGCCATAGTACATTAATTCTGAGCAGATACCTAACCAGAAACCAGATTTCCATCGGGAAAAGTATCCTTATGGAGAGTGCCATATTGCCTGAATTCCTATCTCCTTCAGATCCCTCCTCTCTTAATCCAATGGTGAAAAAAGTAAGGTTCTACATTTAGGCAAGAAAAACCAAATGTACAGGTATAGTATAGGGGGTACCTTGCTCAATAGTAGTAACTGTGAGAGGGACCTCGGAGTCCTAGTGGACAATAACTTAAAATGAGCCAGCAGTGTGCTGCAGCTGCCAAAAAGGCCAACACAGTGCTAGGCTGCATTAACAGAGGGATAGAATCAAGATCACGTGAAGTATTAATACCACTTTACAAGGCCTTGGTAAGGCCACACTTGGAATACTGCATCCAGTTTTGGTCACCACGATGTAAAAAAGATGCTGAGACTCTAGAAAGAGTACAGAGAAGAGCAACAGAGATGATCAGGGGACTGGAGGCTAAAGCATATAAGGAAAGGCTGCTGGAATTGGGTATGTCTAGTTTAATGAAGAGAAGGACAAGGGGGGACATGATAGCAGTGTTCCAATATCTCAGGGGCTGCCCCAAAGAAGAGGGAGTCAAGCTATTCTCCAAAGCGCCTGAAGGCAGGACAAGAAGCAATGGATGGAAACTAATCAAGGAGAGAAGCAACCTAGAACTAAGGAGAAACTTCCTGACAGGGAGAACAATTAACCAGTGGAACAACCTGCCTCCAGAAGTTGTGAATGCTCCAACACTGGAAGTTTTAAAGAAGAGACTGGACAGCTATTTGTCTGAAATGATATAGGGTTTCCTGCCTGAGCAGGAGGTTGGACTAGATGACCTCCAAGGTCCCTTCCAACTTTATTATTATTATTATTTAAGGAACTGGTACGACATGAAGAACCATAGTGAGCTTGTTGGCTTCCCATAATCTCTTTGGAGAGAAGGAACCCCCATCTTGATTTCCTTACTGAAAATTAATGCATTTCCATGGTTCAAGGAAACCAACTTTGCCCCAAGGGAAAACTGGAGACAATCCATTTGCATGTGGCTGGATCATTTCAGTGCAGAAGAACCTTGGAGGAGACACAGAAGCGTGGAAGACTTGCTGTAGATCTCACGTTGTCTCTCTCGGTGCGCAACTGCTCTGATTCGTGACCTGTAGGCTGTGCAAGTCGCAACTGACGGGTGTTGTGGTGGTGGGAAACATAAAAAGTAGAGTTGGGAAGGACTATATTGATCAGAGAATCCAACCTCTTGGTCTGAGCAGAAAACTGGGTTACGGAACGAATCATAACAAGCCCGGGAAAAGATGGTCATGAGACAAATGGGAGTAGTGAGAAGTTTTCGAAAGGGTTCCTGTACTGGCCAATGTATCAACAAGATCAGCGTTTCTGAATCTCAGCAACTTTCAGATGTAGGGACCTCAACTCCCAGAATTCCCCAGCCAAAATTCTGGAAGTTGCAGTCTACACCTCTTAAAGTTGTCAGCTGGGAAATTCTGGTGTCAATGTTGCTAACATCGGATGTTCTTGCTTTGACAACAGATGGGGGGGAGGGGAACTACACCAAACCCCACAACGCCAACCTAACTATATATTTTCCTACTTCCAGGAGGACACCTGGTAAGGGGGGCCGCCTGTCAAGCCCTCCACGGGCTCAACATTCAAGAGGGGGAAGGTGGCAGGTCAGCACGGTGGAGGTGGAGGAAGAGCCAGCACCCGGGTCCAAAGCAGTTTTGCCGTCCAGACTCCGGCAGGACCGTCAAACAGCTGACGGAAGGCTCCCTGCAGCACGAGAAGCCGTGCCTGCGCAAATGGAGGTCCCAAGAAGCCGTGTCTGCACAGAAGGAGGCTGTGGGAAGCTACGCATGCGCAGAAGACGCTGGAGCCACCGAACAGTTAGTCATAACAACAAAAACTCAGCCATGGGAATCAAGGTTATTGTGCCCAGAGCTGATAAAGATTTGGCAGGCTGGAGAGTTGGGGAAAAAGCCCGCGCTTCAAGCTAATTGGGGAATGGGATTTATGACTGTTAATTGAAGGAGGGAATTGTGCTTTGCTACTTTGTGTCAGGGGAGGGGAATTCAGTTTTTGGCTTTAACTATGTAGTGCCGATACTTTGTTTCTCGAATAAAAGATTTTTTAAGGTAAACAATGCCTCGAAGTTCTTTTAAAGAGTTTCATCTGTCGGAACCGTGACATCTGGGAGTTGAAGTCCCTACACCTTAAATTTGCTGAGATTTCAGAAACACAACACTAGATGTTCCAAAGGTGCTTTTTTTCCAAAAGACAACTGGACTTTCCGGGGGTGTGTGTGTGTGTGTGTTTTGAAAACATTTCTCATCTCATCCAAGAAGCTTCTTTAGTTCTTCTTGAATGAAAAGGGGGAAAAAATTCAAAGGAAAAACTAAGAAAGCCCGGTTGTCTGGAAAAAGCACTTAATGTCAAGCACCGGGGAAATCAAGAGATTCAGGCAGTTCAAATGAGCATAACTCTCTACAAGAATCTGTCCAACTAACAGTCAAGGGAAATGAGTTGGGAGATAAGAAAGGCATTCAATGTGGGCTGGATTTAGATCTCTTGCAAGTACGCAGGGACTCATGACTTATGACATGTTTGACTCCTCCCCTTGGGCCTAGCCTGGTCATTTCCCACACTTCTGGGACAACCATGATCTGGATGATTGAGAATCTCCATATACCCTATATTAGATGTTCTCCAAGACCCCTTTCACCCTGACATTCTATGATTGCAACCCATTTGCTACAATCTGGGATAATCAAAAATAGTTTAATCTGGCATTATTTTAGGTATTGGAAGAGAGCTTTCCTATCTCCCAGGTTATCTTTTGGCAAGGCTAACAACTTATTCAGTTTCTTCAATGCTTCTCTTGGTCCTAATCTCCCTTCCCCAATCCTCTTAATTGCTGGAATCTTTCTTACTGTGAATTCCTAAACATCAAAACAGGATCCTTTTTATATTTCTATTAAAGCTGCCCTATTTGGAGCCCCAGGAGTTTAAGTTCTGGGCTGGTGCTGGTCTGTTTTGAAGACTTCAGTGTCTGAAATCCATTTATTTGGATCATTCGCAGCTGAAAGAACAAACTTCTGCAGGAGACTCTTACAAAGAGAGAGAAAACACGCTGGCAGGCCACATTTAACTGTCATTTCCACGCAGCTCTTTCTCATCTCTGCTTTTTGCCTGGATGACAACAACAAAAACCAAGCTTGGCGAAAAGATGTGCCCCGTGGCTTGGCATTAATCGAAAGAGTAGTTGGTGGGAACAGTTTACCGGCTTGCAAACAGTACAGCAAGATTTCAGCTGGCTTGATCGATGCAAACCAGATGCCTCTCGGGGGGCTAAATTTTGAAAAGGCAGCATCGCGTTGAAAGTTAGACCATTTGGCAACCGAATCGCAAGCCGCAGTGTGTGGGCCTTGGCTATCTCGCCCCAAATGGTCCAGTCAAACATCTGCAGATGCAAACTTGAAACAATGCAGCAGACGGGCATCAGACGAAATGAAGCTTTTTCATCCGCTGAAGGATACATTTTTCTCTATTAAATTTTGCCAGCCTCGACAATTCGCGCTCAACGGCACTCAACTCGTTGCATGAAAGGCTGGCGCCCATTTTGTTTATCTGTCCTTGAAGTGGGGAAGGAGCAGAACTCAAAATAACTTTTGCACACAGATGGACCCAGGTTCTAACTCTGAAAGGATAAACAGATATGTGTAAAATCTCCCAACTGGGGGAACAGACTGTAGTCAGAAGAGACTACATTAGTGGTGAGAAAAAAAAGATCTAATTTGGCAAAGATGAACAAAATTAGGAAATACAGCAGCGAGGTTTCCAACATCCAAATTAGCTGTTCCTATTTCAAAATGATTTTCAGATGTATTATACAGTCCTGGTCTAAAACAGGATGTTAACTAGGATAGGAGTAGAGTAGAGTAGAGTAGGGTAGGGTAGGGTAGGGTAGGGTAGGGTAGGATAGGATAGGGCAGGGCAGGACAGAACAGAACAGAACAGAACAGAGCTGAAAGGGACTTCTAGTCCAGCCCCCTTCCATCTACAAGAGGTTGGGAATTAACAGGCAGAGCTCAAAAAATTCTCCAAGGCAACTGGCTGGTAGTGTTAGTTAACAGGATATTGCACCAGAAAGGGGGTATTGGCTGATTTCCAAGAAAAAAATAATATTCAAGATGCGGTTCCAATACCTTTTGTTGGAGGTGACGGGAATTCTCCAACCTTTAATCTGGCTCAGCTCGGTATCGGAGATCTCAATTTGCAACGGGAGCCGTGGGACCCAGACAGGGACTTCTAGCTGAGTGGTAAAATGCTGGTAGGTGAAGTTCACCAGGGCGTCCACTTTGCTTTTCATTTCCTTCCCATTCACAAAGATGGCATCGCAGTTGTCCGAGACCTGCAAAGGAAGAACGCAAGCAGATCCTGAAGTGAATAACAAATAAATTAGCTACCTCAAGATGGGGGGGCAAAAGCCCACTGCAGGAAATAACAGCATTTTAGAAGTCTATGGAGATTCTCAGTCATCCAGGTCATAGTTATCCCGAAGATGCTTTTTCTTGAAGCAACTGGAAAGTCCAGTTGCCAGTTGCCTTGTGAAAAAGCATCTTTGGGGCCTTTTTGAAGTCTTTGCCTCATTACTGGTAGAAAAATAGCAAGAATAATGCATTTTCTTCAATATAAGAGCAAGCAACTCGGTGTTTTGGGGCTAAATCCTACCAGCCCCGGCCAATATGACTAAAGAAGGGTTGGAACGTAGTCCAAAATACCTGGAAAATACCAGGTTCAGATCTTGGTTGGATCAGTCATGGAGAGTAGCTCCCAATGTTGCCACATGGCCAGTGGTGGGGTTCAGCCAGTTCGCACCAGTTCAGTAGAACTGGTAGCTCAGCTATTGCTGAGTTTGGAGTTTGGCTGAATGCACACTGCTTCCGGAAGTCCAATCTAGCCTCAGAGGCCTCCCAGGCCTAGAACAGCCCACTGAAAGTGCATGGATGCCACTTCCGGAAGTCCGTTCTGGGCCTCGGATGCCTGGAAGAGGCCTCCCAGGCCTAGAACGGCCCGCCGGAAGTGCGTGGATGCCACTTCTGGAAGTCCGTTCTGGGCCTTGGAGGCCTGGAGGAGGCCTCCCAGGTGTAGAACGGCCCACCAGAAGTGTGTGATGCCACTTCTGGAAGTCCGTTCTAAACCTCGGAGGCCCAGGCCTGCATCCAATAAGAGAACCGCTTGTTCAGGTACTTGAATCCCACCACTCCACATGGCATACCATGGTGACCTACAAATGATGAGTTAGATCATAGGTCTCCAAACTTGGCCACTTTAAGACTTGTGGACTTCAACTCCCAGAATTCCTCAGCCAGCCAACAGAACAATTCTAAGATAATGACACATTTAACTCCACCCCACCCCAGCTCTGCCTGCTCTCCTACAATTAGTTTGACCACAAGTTTATATTTACAGCTCATTTAGAGAAAAATACATATGCCAGCAGAGAAAGGAGAGACATATTTTTATAATTCTCAATAATTGCTCCCTTTTAGTATGAGAAAGAGGGTAGGGATGTAAAACCCAGCTACCAAGAACCTTAGAATCATAACTCCATTCATATATTCCTCCAGACAAGGAGGGTGCACGTGTTTGAATTCTGCTAGAGGGGATTGACTCTGAACTGATCTTGCTTATTAGACTTTCCTTTTAGGCAAAAATTGAATTTGCATCAGGTTTGTCATCCTGGAGTGCATTTATTGGAAAACGAATCAGTTTGATTATCTTGCATTTTCCATTCATGCTGGGCTGATGAAAAAGAGAATTATTTTCCCTCTCCTCCATCTCTCCCTTTTCACAGTAAGAGATATTTTTCACTCCCTTCTCACTCCGAATATATTGGAGGAATTCTCAGGGTACATTTTTGTTGTTGTTCTGTCTCACTGGAAATTTAGATTGTCTCTACTTGGGGGGAAAAATACAATGAAAGACGTATTTGTAGGCTTTTGTCTGGTTGGAGAGCAATAAGGATGTCTCAAAAGTCAAGAACCTTACCGGACCTTATTGAATAAGAGTTGGAAGGATCTTGTAGTTCTTCTAGTCCAGGGGTCTTCAAACTTGCCCCTTTTATGACTTGTGGGCTTCAACTCCCAGAAATTCCTCAGCCAGGCACGCTGGCTGAGGAATTCTGGGAGCTGAAGTCCACAAGTCATAAAAGGGCCAAGTTTGGAGACCCCTGTTCTAGTCCAACCCTTTGCTCAATGGAGACCCTCTACCATTCCAGACAAATGGCTGTCCAATCGCTTCTTGAAAACCTCCAGTGATGGAGCACCTACAAATTCTGGAGGCAAGCCGTTCCACTAAATCAGTTGTTCTCACTATCAGGAAATTTCTAGGTTGGACTTCTCTTTGAGGACCTTCCATCCATTGCTTCTTGTCCTCCCCTCAGATGCTTTGGAGAATAGATTGACTCCTCTCTTCTCTGTGACAGCCACTCAAATATTGGAAGACTGCTAACGTGTCACCCCCTAATCCTTACTTTATTAGACCAGATGTACCCAGTTCCTTGCTCATGTTCAACCATGCCACCAACACATCCAGTTCCTTGCTCAAGACAGGCCACCAACCATCCCATGTCCTTCCGAGGTAGAATAGAATAGAATAGAATAGAATAGAATAGAATAGAATAGAATAGAATAGAATAGAATAGAATAGAATAGAATAGGGAATATGGAATAGAATAGAATAGAATAGAATAGAATAGAATAGAATAGAATAGAATAGAATAGAATAGAATAGAATAGAATAGAATAGAATAGAATAGAATAGAACAGAACAGAACAGAATAGGGAATATGAAATAGAATAGAATAGAATAGAATAGAATAGAATAGAATAGAATAGAATAGAATAGAATAGAATAGAATAGGGAATATGAAATAGAATAGAATAGAATAGAATAGAATAGAATAGAATAGAATAGAATAGAATAGAATAGAATAGAATAGAATAGAATAGAATAGAATAGGGAATATGAAATAGAATAGAATAGAATAGAATAGAATAGAATAGAATAGAATAGAATAGAATAGAATAGAATAGAATAACAGAAGGAATAGAATAGAATAGAATAGAATAGAATAGAATAGAATAGAATAGAATAGAATAGAATAGAATAGAATAACAGAGTTGGAAGGGACCTTGGAGGTCTTCTAGTCCAACCCCCCTGCCAATCACCACTTACATTTCAGAAGGAAAAGGAGCGTGCGAAATAATTGTCATCCTAATATAAGCCCATCTGGATATTTGGGTAACCATGGAAAACGCACTGCAAAGACCAACTTGCTAGCGGGAGCTAAAAAGAGGATCAAGAGTATTTACCTCCCTTCTCCCGAAGACCGTCGCTCACTCCAGACTAACCAGTTTGATCCTTCAACTTTTTAGAGATTAAGCCTTACTGACAAGCGCTAGCTTAAGCAAACATCTGCATGCCTCTTCATTAAGACCGAGGGTCCCAGACGGGATTAAGCATTGTTTACCCAGCGAATCCCCATCAGATGGTGCAGCTTTATTCCCCATCAATTTTTAATTGCAAATCCCAGACCTGCTCCAAGGGAATCAGCATTTCATTAGGTGGAACTAGTACAAATGTTGCGTTGCTAAGGGGTTTTTTTAAAAAAAAAATGCCTGATTTTGCCTCTCCACTCTCCCTACCGGCCTGCCTCAGCAATGCCAGAGGGTTTTCCGGATAAGCGAGACGATGCTAATAAAGCTGGCTCAACATAGAAGATTTATGGGGGGGAGGTAAGAGGTGGGCAGCCCACCGCTTCCCATGGAGCGTTGAGGAACCTGATCTAAAATGTTTCATTGGTCCAACAGCCAAAGCTCTCCAGGCAGTTAACAAATACAACAAAGGAGAAAATACAACCTGAGTAAAAACAGGTACGAGACTCAAATAGAATACAAAATAAAGTGTGAAGGGCCTATGGCAGGGGTAGGCAACCTTGGCTCTTTTATGACTCATGGACTTCAACTCCCAGAATTCCTGAGCCAGCATGGGGGAACTATGGCCCCCTTCATGACTCACGGACTTCAACTCCCAGAATTCCTGAGTCCGCATGAGGGAACTATGGCCCCTTCACGACTGGTGGACTTCAACTCCCAGAATTCCTGAGCCAGCATGGCTCAGCTTGGAAACCTCTCCCTTTCCTCTCAGCATGGCTGGCTCAGGAATTCTGGGAGTTGAAGTCCACCAGTCATAAAAGAGCCAAGGTTGCCTACCCCTGTTCTATGGAAATTCTCCAGGTCATGGTTATCCCCAAAGTGCTTTTCCAAAAAGCAACTGGATTTTCTTGGGTTTTTCCTTGAAAATGTTTCGATTCTCATTCAAGAAGCTTCTTCAATTCTGGACTATCACATAAAGCAGAGGGCCCCCAATCTATGGTCCGAGGCCCGGTACCAGGCCGTGGCCTCTTGGCCACCAGGCCCCGGGAATACTGGTGAGCCCCCCGCTCACGGTAGCACTGTGTGCGTGCGCTAGCGAACTCATTTGCACATGCGCAGGGATGCTAGCACCGCCGCCAGTGTCACGTAGGTGCCGGCAGCCCATTTGCGCATGGATGCGGGCACCAGCGCGGGGGCCCTGGATGTGTGCTGCTCGTCTGTGCATGTGCACACATGCTAGTACTGCTGTCATGTGCGTGCCCATTTCCATTTGTGTGTGCACGCATGCACATTTCCCTGCTGCTCCCTTTCATTCCGGGCTGCCAAGCCAAAAAGATTGGGGAGCTCTGACATAAAGTATTCAGAATCAAGGAATTAGGAGCCAAGTACAAAGTGGGACTTGTTACAACCTCGAGCATCTTTATGTTTAATTGTTTGCTTTCTCTCTTTCTTGCTCAGCCACCTGTGCATTTATCCACTCATCCGTCATGAGATCGAGGATGTCTTCCCCTTCTTTTAAACTCCAGATTGGCACAATATTTGGAAGCAAGCGGTGAAATGAGGAGACCCAAACTCATTGGTAGCTTCACACTGCAATGAACAAGGCCACGCATTCAATTTTGCAACTACTGCAATTGTCAGCCGAGCAGGGACAAAAATAGCCAGAGAAAAGATAGAAGTCTGGGAACGGGCCCCTTGTCAGTCAACAGGCATGCCGATTTATCATCAACTTATCAGATGCTTGGGAGCTGAGGGTGCAGCCGCACAATGAAACAACAATCACCGATTTAACAGCCAGCCATCAACACCCTAATTAACAACTAAACGCTACACACAACCAGGCACCATAGAAACACAAGGCGTAGAACAGCCCAGTGCACATATTCTGGAGAGAGAGAGAGAGAGAAATTCCCTGATGATGGGTTCCAGCACAAGCCCAAAAGCTTGGAATAATAAACCTTTGGTCACCTCCGGTTAGATCCCGCAACAATATTTGCACCTCGTTGCAATCTCGGAGGTGGCCTGGCAATTGTCTAAACCTCCTGCTGCACAATTTAGTCAAAAGCAAATAGCAACAGCAACAGGAACAGGGACCGTAATTGTTATGACATATTCCCGCACAACTTCTGCATCGGAAGGAGAAAAGGAATTGGGGATCTGTCAAAGGCAAGAGCTTTTATGTCACATAAATTAGCCTCCGCTACTTCAGAATGACATCGACTTGTCAGGCTGATGGCTGGCTGTCGTCAGTGTCAACGACGTGTCCCCAGGGAGCCCTTCACCAGCGGTATATCACCCCAAAGCAGGTGTCGTAAATTAAGTCCCCAACACTTTTGCTGGAGCAACTGTTTAGGAGAATCTGATTAGAGCTACGCAGAAGCGGAGGGAACCTCACGGTTGATTGCAGCTCCTTGGAAGAGCAGATCAAATAACTCCAGCTGCAACTTCTTGCCAGAGATTAGAANATTCAGGGCCTCTTCATTCGCTTATGTCAATTTGAATCAGATAATCATATAATTAATGGATCGGTCTCCCGTGGTGACAGACATTTACACTGGAGAGAAAGTCTGGGTGAAAATAATGAGTTTTATCATCATACCATGTCAACGCGTGCACTTCTCTATGTCAGTGAAAAGAGCCATTAGTTGCCGTTATCATCTTACCAGTGAAGACATGAGAAGTTGGCATGTTTGCACACTCTATTTAGACCTGGCTGGGATTAACAATGGAACTGGATTTGTTAGCTGATGTGATTTAGATGTTGGGGGAGGGATGAGTGACTCTTATAATACCAAAACATCCTTGGCTCCAAGAAATGTATGCTGGTTTAGTAAGAATGAAAGGAGACGTAGCAACAAATATAGTGCCTGAAGATGGATGGATGGATGGATGGATGGATGGATGGATGGATGGATGGATGGATGGATGGATGGATAAATGGATGAATGGATGAATGGATGGATGGATGGATGGATGGATGGACGGGTGGATACGTGCATGCATGCATGCATGCATACATGCATACATATATACATTCTTTATACCTACAGTGGTACCTTGGTACTTAACTGGTTTGAAACACATCAAATTTATTACTCTCAACACATTCTGAAGCAAAACTTTTGTCCCGGTACTCATCGTTTCTTTGGTACTCAGCACATAAGCTGGAACTTGTCAGTGTTGGCTGCAATGTGACTCACTACATTATTCCTTATGGGGAAAAATGTTTCATACTCATTGTTTTTGGTACTCATCATGCGCCCCCCCCACCAGAACCAATTCAGTTGAGTACTGAGGTACCATGAGAGAGAGAGAGAGAGAGAGAGAGAGAGAGAGAGAGAGAGAGAGAGAGAGAGAGAGAGAGAGAGAGAGAGAGAGAGAGAGAGAGAGAGAGAGAGAGAGAGAGAGAGAGAGAGAGAGAGAGAGAGAGAGAGAGAGAGAGAGGGAGAGAGAGAGAGAGAGAGAGAGAGAGAGAGAGAGAGAGAGAGAGAGAGAGAGAGAGNCCCTGATGGGGCTTATTACTGCAACTTGCTTGGCAAGGGGTAGGAAAGGAAAAGACCAAACCCACCGCCAAGTAAAATGGATGCCAGGATTCAAAAGGCTGTCTGTAAAAACTGGGTCCTGGGTTTTCAGATTCCCAGGTAATTTCTTCCTTTCGTAGCTACCTCTCCGATGTTTATCAATTGGGCTTTTTCTGCTGACGTGATAGCAGTCTTCCAGTATTTGAGGGGCTGCCCCAAAGAAGAGGGAGTCAAGCTATTCTCCAAGGCGCCTGAAGGCAGGACAAGAAGCAACGGGTGGAAACTAATCAAGGAGAGAAGCAACCTAGAACTAAGGAGAAACTTCCTGACAGTTAGAACAATTAACCAGTGGAACAGCTGGACTCCAGAAGTTTCTACGTGCTTCATCACTGGAGGCTTTCAAAAAGAGACTGGACAACCATTTGTCTGAAATGGTAAGCAGGGGGTTGGACTAAAAGACCTCCAAGGTCCCTTCCATCTATTCTATTCTATTCTATTCTATTCTATTCTATTCTATTCTATTCTATTCTATTCTATTCTATTCTACAATCTTTCCCATTCTATTCCATATTTTCTATTCTATTCTATTCTATTCTATTCTATTCTATTCTATTCTATTCTATTCTATTCTTAGTGACTGTTTGAAGCTATGATGGACCCCCCCAAAGGTACTTACAAACTGGATTCAAAGTTCCAATGGCTACACCCTACACACAAAAATCACATTATGGCATTTTGGCTGCTCAGCAACCAGCCCACATTTATAGCAGTTTGCAGCATCATTGCGTCGCAATTTATGATTATTTTTGGGCAGAAATTGAAGTTTACTTTCTGTTTATGGCAAAAAAAAACCATCCCCGAATCATTGCAGACAATGGGTTTGCTTAACAACTGCTGAACGACCACTATATTTGTTTAACAACTGCTGCAAAAAAAAAAAGAAGTCATAAAGTCAGGTCAGTCACGTGGATGCCTCGACACACTCCCACCGTGACATACTGTTGGAAATTCTTACTTGTGTATGTTTTATATGCATGTTTCCATTGTCCACAAAACACGTCTGTGTGATTCAAAAACCTACATTCGCGCAAACCAAAAAAGTATCACAAGTCTAGAGATGCAGCCGTTCCCTCATTCTTTTTAATGACATTTCCCCAGCTGTTTAAACTCAGTGTTCAGTCACACCTAAGTATGCCAGGTTAAAAAAAAAAAAGTTAGAAACTCAATTAACACCATGAAAAGTCCACAGAACATATCTCAACACATCCCTCGTAATGGCGTGATGGGAGGATGGAAGGGGAAGTAAAGCAAGCCAAGAAACAAATCAAGAACTTGGGGATATGAAAAGAATTATTTTTGGAAGAAACGAAGATCAGCAACTGAATCGTGGAGNATTCAGGGCCTCTTCATTCGCTTATGTCAATTTGAATCAGATAATCATATAATTAATGGATCGGTCTCCCGTGGTGACAGACATTTACACTGGAGAGAAAGTCTGGGTGAAAATAATGAGTTTTATCATCATACCATGTCAACGCGTGCACTTCTCTATGTCAGTGAAAAGAGCCATTAGTTGCCGTTATCATCTTACCGGTGAAGACATGAGAAGTTGGCATGTTTGCACACTCTATTTAGACCTGGCTGGGATTAACAATGGAACTGGATTTGTTAGCTGATGTGATTTAGATGTTGGGGGAGGGATGAGTGATACCAAAACATCCTTGGCTCCAAGAAATGTATGTTGGTTTAGTAAGAATGAGAGGAGACGTAGCAACAAATATAGTGCCTGCAGATGGATGGATGGATGGATGGATGGATGGGTGGATACGTACATGCATGCATGCATGCATACATATATACATTCTTTATACCTACAGTGGTACCTTGGTACTTAACTGGTTTGCAACACATCAAGTTTATTACTCAACACATTCTGAAGCAAAACTTTTGTCCCGGTACTCATCGTTCATTTGGTACTCAACACACAAGCTGGAACTTGTCAGTGTTGGCTGCAATGTGACTCACTACATTATTCCTTATGGGGAAAAATGTTTCATACTCATTGTTTTTGGTACTCATCACACACACCCCCCACTGGGGGGGGGGGAGAGAGAGAGAGAGAGAGAGAGAGAGAGAGAGAGAGAGAGAGAGAGAGAGAGAGAGAGAGAGAGAGAGAGAGAGAGAGAGAGAGAGAGAGAGAGAGAGAGAGAGAGAGATGGACAGATGGACGAATGGATAAAGACAGAAGAGAGATGAATAGATAGATAGATAGATAGATAGATAGATAGATAGATAGATAGATAGATAGATAGATAGATAGATAGATAGATAGATAGATAGATAGATAGATAGATAGATAGATAGATAGATAGATAGATATAGAGAGAGAGAAATGGACAGATGGACAAATGGATAAAGACAGAAGAGAGATGAAGAGAGAGAGAGAGAGAGAGAGAGAGAGAGAAATGGACAGATGGACGAATGGATAAAGACAGAAGAGAGATGAATAGATAGATAGATAGACAGACAGACAGACAGACAGACAGACAGACAGACAGACAGACAGACAGACAGACAGACAGACACAGAAGAGACAGAGATGGATGGATGAATGGATGGATAGTCAAATTGGAGCTATCCATTTCGGAACGAATATTGGCTCTTCTCTTCCATTCCTGTGAGGTCCTTGATGCTCTCTGAGCTTGGCTGTTTTCTTGTAGACATTTCATTACCCAACTAGGGAACATCATCAGTGCTAATGTTGCTAATGTTAATGATGATGATAGCACTCTCTGCACTCCCTGCTAATTATATTTAAAAGCAGGAGTGAAGGCTGGTTCAACGTGAAGGTTCTAGAGATATGCATCATCCAGTGGTTGGTTAAGTAAACTATTGATTTGTAAGACTGTTTCAGCCTTTGATAACCATCTGACTAAATCATTCCTGGGATCTTTCCAGTTTCAAGAAGCAGCCTTACCTTGAGGACATCTTCATCAGCTGATCTGCATTCAGCAGAGCTGGAGATGTCTCTGATGGATCCATCTTCTTCAACAGCAACCACTTTCACAGGGATAGACACTGGCTTGCCCGTCAGAATGGCTGTGTTGAGGATCTCGGTATCCTATTCAGGCATACAACAAAGAAGAAAATAGAGGTCTATAAAAGAAGGTGCCATCAGAAGAGTAAGGTGAAGTAGGGACATAGTTAAGGCCCCCTCTATCCCATTTTCATCCTCACAATAATCTTGTACAACACCTGCTGTTCATAATGAAGGTCACATTCCACCTCAATATCTTCTGGTTGAAATCATAAAGACCTGGAGAAGATTCCAGAAAGACCTTTGCTAAATTCAGCAGGGCCCTCAATAAACTAGGGTTCTCAACAACACCAGAAAGTTGTCTACGATAAAAAAGAGTGGTGGGATATCTTAAAAAACTGTTGCGCCACCATCAATATGTTGTGCCAGAAACAGGAACTAGATGTTCAAAGAAACTTCCCCCAACTATTAATCCTTTTACATCACATGTAGAAATGGTCTTTCCCCTTTCGTATTTCCACCACCATCCATGGACAATAACGCTAGGTCAGGTCATCCCAAAGATGCTTTTTCAGCTGGACTTTGTTGTTTTTCTTTGAAGACGTTTCACTTCTCATCCAAGAAGCTTCTTCAGCTCTGACTGGGTGGTGGGAAATGGTCTGGTCTGATTGGATGGTCAGAGCTGAAGAAGCTTCATGGATGAGAAGCGAAACGTCTTCAAAGAAAAACAACAAAGTCCAGTTGCCTCGCGAAAAAGCATCTTTGGGACAACCATGACCTGGATGACTGAGAATCTCCGTAGACACTTACAGATAATTCAAGTCCCACCTCAGTAGGATTCAGCAAAACACAGGGCAGTTTCTATTGGTCACCTATAAACCTAATTCTTGTGGTTCTTTGGGACCAGATTATCTTTCAGCCTCGGATGGCTGAAATGACAGATTACCCAAATCACGTGCCTCCTATCTCTCTTATTCTTCGATTCCTAAATTCCCCCATTGCAGAAGTTTATAGCCAAACCCTTCCCTTCTCTGCAGAAACGGTAACCCAGCGAGCAAATCCCTCGTTCGTTTTTGTCAAATCACTGTGGCGCCAACAGCACCCCCGATACCAATTGCTAATTTAAAAAATACATATATTTTCTGCTTCATCGACAAATGCCACTTGGAGACGTTTCCCAGGGCCAGGAAGTCATAGACAGATCATTTCCTCAGCAAGTTCTGAGAAAGCCATCGATGCTTTTTCCTCGACACATTCTCAGATGCAGCCCGCTAATGAGTCCATTAGCGGGGAATTCATTGATACAGCACCATGGATGCCATTTGATTAATTACGCCAGCTCCCTGCTCTCACCAGGACGTAGGCAGACGAAGAGAGGTGCAAAATGAAGGACAAGAATCCTTGAATTAAGGCCTTTGCTCCGGGGAAGCAATATTTGCAATTAAGACATGGGATCTGGACCTCACGGTGAGTGATGATTCTTCTGCAACTCGCTACAGCCATAGACGTGGTTGCAAAAAAAAAAAAAAAGGAGAAACACTCTACTTCAAGTGCCATCTGCCACTGGAGTGGGTGGATCGACCCATCCAGGCTATTAAAGTTGGAAAAGAAGCAGACCAGTTTATAGGAGCGCATTGACACACGTGCCAAGCCGGCCTCCATTGCGGCGTGTATTGCCACAGCAAACAAGGTCCTTGACATGCATCGCTCCCCCGAATAAAAGTCTGGACAAAACATTTGCAACAGATGCATCCAGAAAGAGGCCAGCATTTGGAGGATGAGGCCTGCAAATAAAGACAGATTGCCGCAAAACTTGGCAATCTTTCTGCATGTGAGCATGTAACTATCTGTGTACTGTATGTGTGTGTGTATATCAGTCCAAACGTGCGCATGGATGTAGATATGTGCATCTATGTGTGTGGATATATATAAGTGTGTATGTGGACATGCGGGTGTATAGACATATACACACAGTATATATACTAGATATGGCTGTGAGAGTTGGACCATAAAGAGGGCTCTTGAGCATCCCTTGGACTGTGAGGAGATCCAATCGGTCAACCCTAAGGAAATCAATCCTAACCATCTGTGATGACCCAGGGCACAGCACAGAGGCAATGCAGTCAGCTGGCAATTCAAACCGTCCTTTAATTGCTTCAAATTTTCCCCAAATGCTCTCACGTTTCTGGCAAGCTTCAGAACAAAGTAAGACACACACATCTCTGGCTGCAAGTAGTTTCACATACAGTCTGATTAGGAGAGGAATTTACTCAAGGCCACGGAGATAAGAAAGAATGACACATTCATCATAAACCTAACGAGTCTGTGTGAATACACGCTTGCCTGAGCAGTTTCAAAAGGGAAGCCAAAATACAGTCCGAGATCTATAAACATCCAAGCAACATTGTCAGCCAGTCCAATGGTCAGAGTTTCTGGGTTTCCAAGCAGAAGTCACAGAACAAGCGATCAGCAACCACACACACAAAACTCCAAGGAATCAGCGTTTGTTCCCAACAAATGCCTCTCCCCACAGCATCTCCTTAAATCTCAGTCTCCAGGTGTGCCTTGTGGAGAGGGACGGGATGCTCTCCTCCCAAGTAGTTGAGCCTGCCTGCGTTGTTCCCTCCTTCTCTCCACTCTCCATGCTCTAGGATCAGGAGGGGGTGGCCCTTGCTCATCGCCTGAACTCTGTCTCTCTTGTTCATCCTGTCCCAATCCAGAAAGGCCCTGGCCTGCCTCGGCCTGCTCTTCCCCACGTTCCTCTGAAGCCACAGACCCCTCTCCCTCGACCTCCATAGGGTCCCGTTCCAGCTCATTTTCCTCTGCAGATTCAGGCTCCAACGGAGGCATGACACTGTCATTTGGAAGGACAGATACTGAGGGTCAAATACTTTGGCCACCAAATCAGAAGAGAGTTGGGAAAGTAGGAAGGCAGAAGAAGAAGGGGATGGCAGAAGAGGAGATGGTTAGATAGTGTCATCGACACAATGAACATGAATTTGGGCAAACTCCGGGAGACAATGGAGGATGGGGGGGACCCAGCGTGCTGTGGTCTATGTACGTAGCCTATTTGGAATTGGGCCGTGCGAGGGGCTGGACGAAAGGTGTGCGTGTGCAGGCAGCTCAAATTGCGCAAGCGGCTGGCTGGCAGACAATCCCGGTGTGTGTGCCAGCCCTTCGCTCGTTCAAGTCGAGCTGCACGTGTGCATGCTGGTCTGCCATCATGCAAGGACTGCATGCGTGTGTCTGCACTGGGCCAGTTCCCTCCCCCCACAGCCAGGTCGCCGAGCCACAAAGAGTAGGGAATGCTGGTCTACGGGGTCGTGGAAGTCAGACATGACTGAGTGACTGAACAACAACATATACCAGACGTAGTTTTGGTTTTTTTTTTTTTTTTAAAAAAAAAAACCTAATCCAAGAAATGTATATTAAAATGATTGGGGAGGGGGGGAGAAATGGATGGAAAGAAAAAAGTCCTGGAAGGGAGGGAAAACTTCCATTTTCCCAGAAAAAAGAGCAATCACTCATAAGTAAAGCAGCTGCTTTGTTTGTTATAGACCAGTGGTGGTGAACCTATGGCATGGGTACCAGAGGCGGCACTCGGAGCCCTCTCTGTGGGCACACATGCCATTGCCCCAGCCTCGCCTCCCACCATGACCCCCTCCTCTCCAGCAGCCCCCCTGAAGGAGAGTCACCCCTGAGTGTGGCCCACATGGAGCAGTGCAGCCAAGGACATGGCAGCCAGGCAGCATAGACAAGATTCTGCCCTCAACCCCATCGTGCACAGTTGATGCTGCAGGGCGTGGGCAGAGGGCGTGACTGCCATAGCACTGCTGGGCTGCCTGGGCGATCTGCGGTGGGCCCTGGGGGTGGTGAGTGGCCCTGCACGCAGGTGGGGCAGGAGATGGGGAGCAGAGTGGGGGCAGGGCAGGGGGTGGAGCGTGGGCAGGGCCAGTTTTTGGGCACTCGGTCTCTAAAAGGTTCGCCATCACTGTTATAGACTATATGTATTTAATTGACATTCTACATATTCTAAATTTCAAATTTGACCACTTTAAGATATGTGGACTTCAAGTCTCAGAACTGCCGAACCAGCGAGGGTGGACTTCCAGAATCCCCCAGCCAGTATGCCTTGTTTTGTTGGGTCGCCACTCTAGGAACATCTCTGTAGAAGACATTCAGGGAGATGTTTCCTAAAAAAAGTCAGATTCTCTGTAGCTCCAGTGCTGTCCTGCTTAGGATGTTCACATGACCTGTTAAGCTTCCTGTTGACCCAGCTAGGCACATCATCTGAACACAGAGGCCACACAGTAGCTTTACATCTTAGCTAGCATACAATGTCCACTTTGAAGGATTAGGGAAGAGTGGACAAGATGCTGGACACCTGAATAGCTTCCTCTGTTGATCCTATCCCGAGTTCTGCTACTCTGATCAACGGGACCGCCTTCACTTCACCAGCACTGAAACCCACATTTTGAGTTCCTTTCACACGGGGCACCTTGCAATCCGCACATCATCCCCCTTATGCAGAAATGTGGTGGTTTAGCATTTGATTTTGCCAAAGGATTTCAACATCTGACTCCAGGCTGCAGATAAATAGGGATGATCTTTGAAAGAAGAAAAGTGCAAGGAAGGAAAAACTAGGCATTCTTCACTCCGCATCTCGGAGGATGCGAACCAGATGCTTAGTGCCTCGTTCCCTCTCCTCCGCCCCCTCCACACACACACACACCCCACGACTGCATTATGTTCATCAGGACGTCGTTGGGAGTTTATCCCTTCCCAGCTGACATCTGGTGCCGAGAGGACAGGGTTTTTCTTTAAAAAACAAAAGATGAAGAATGCGAGAGAGGAAATGCATCGCCATCAGTGGGATTGTTGCTGCCCGTTTTAATAGTAGTGGTAGCACAATCAGACGTTCGGTCTGCATTTCTGTAAAATATTAATATGTTTCATTATCCAGGCATCCAAAAAGCACCGTCTTTACTCTCAAAGCAGGTTGGTCTCCTTCCTTCCTTCCTTCCTTCCTTCCTTCCTTCCTTCCTTCCTTCCTTCCTTCCTTCCTCCCTCCCTCCCTCCCTNAC